TTAAGTTGAAATTCGCTTAGTCTGCAGGTTTGCTGCGGCGGGGGTATTTATTTTATACAGTATTTTCTACAAACCGGGAATTCATTAAATATTTACTGCTTCCATGGTTTTTTTACAAATATTATACTACTAGGCGAATCCCGTCGAAATCGACGGTCACTGTCAAGGCTTAAGCTAATTATTCATCTACGGAAAGTTAGGATCTAGTGGATCTAGTGGAATATACTTGAAGTGAAGTTGGCTTTTACTCTTAAACTCTTAGGGACCTTCTCGTTTATATGGTCGTGCGGCTTCATTGGCAACAAATAATTCAAATTACATAATGCCGTATTTCCAAAAAGCAATAAAATACTGAAAATTGGCTGTTACGTCAATATTGACGTTTACATGCATTGTTAAACAAAGTATCTTATAAAGGATGATGTGATCAAGTTTAAAAGGAACGTGACCTTTCTGTCATGACAGTAGCTGCTAAAATAGTATTTACTCTTTGTACCTTTTTTACAGCCAAAATGCCGTGTTATTTTAAATCATGTTAACAACCCAGTGAGCCACGGTCTGTAATATAGATCACTTCAAATAATCTGTCAACATAGGTACCATTTTAGGCCAGATTTCTGTGTTTGGATGTTATTACACGCGATAAGAGCACAATAAACTTCTTCTGCAGATAATAATCTGCTGGAGAGATATAAGCCGAATTATAAATGTCACAATGTGAGTTTGAGCATTTTGTAACTATATATTGGTAAGTTACATAGTATTTTCGAGGCTGCTGCTCAGTGCACTTTAAGAATATATTTTTAGAGATAAATTAAATGGTTTTTGTTGCTGAGTAGCGTTAGTAAACATGCACAACCCATTTCGTTATTCTAATAACATTCAAAGGCTCTCTAAGAGTTCAAATTCTTATTTGTATACTTATCCATAATACAAGTTTTCACTAAGTTGAATTAACAACATCGAAGTAACCTCTCTGAAAAGTCTGTAGTAAATTGCAGTTTTACAGCTTAATAACTTTCTAAATCATACACATATTTCTACATAAATATTGTAAATTGTTTTATCCAGTTGCTGTAAACTACTATTAATTTAGCAAAATATGGACACTGGGGGCTGCCCTTCTGCACTTGTATAATTTTTCCAATGATTATAAAAACATGTATAACAATAATCTCGTGAACCTATGACGATCTGTATAATAATATGATAAAACTAGCTGTAACCCGCGGGCTTTGCCCCGTTTAACTTCTTAATTTTCAAGATTATCTCGTTCGCATGGCTCAATCACGTCCTGGTTGAAGTTTGTTCGCTACGCTCACTCACCTTTAGGTTGGAGCTCGTTCGCTGCGCTCACTTGCCTTCAGGTTAGCTCGTTCGCTACGCTAAAACTCGCCTCAAGGTTGAAGTTCGTTCGCTACGCTCACTCACCTTTTGGTTGCAAATTAGCTGTTGTCATAAATGTAAAAGAAATAATAGTGCTGCACCCTGTTGGTAATCCTTGTAACTTTAATGCTATTGAACATCATAGAACAGAACAGTATGTTTTATCTATGACAGAACCAACTTGTTTAATTGAAACATCTGTTAAGATTCAATAATTCCATTTCTCATAAGGTTAACATGGTAAACTCCAGAGCCACTGGGGCGGAGCCCGAAAGGACTTTTAAGATAACAATGCGTCTATATGTTAATCGGGAATGTGAGCTATCATCATGCCAAATTTCAGCCCAATCCGACCAGTATTTTTCGCGTTCACTTGTCACAAACATACATCCATACATACATCCAAACTTTCTCATTTATAATATTAGTAGGATATAAGCAAAAGTGGGGGAAAAGGCAGACAACAACCCGTACAGTAGATATAAGAAATTATTGTAAGAGTTCTGTGATAAAAGGAATTTCCACTGATTTCGTAATGGAATGTTATATTGCAAAACATGACATGATACAGAAGAAAATAAATTTTAAAATCAGAAAATAGCATTGCAAATACTATTCTTTTGGACAATTTAGTAACTCCCAATAAATGTGTGTTGTTTAAAACACAATTGAAAAATCAACAGCTGTTTCATTAAACAGTATTATCTACGTGGCCAAAATGTAAACAAATTTGTCAAGGTATCTTTAAAAGCTTCTGGGGCAGAGCCCTAAGGGAATTTACTTCGTGTTTCTTTTGATAACTCATCTAAAGACCAAGGCCTTTCTTTGGAGACCTCTACCAAGTTTCTACGTCCAGTTGTTCTCTCAAATTAGTGGAGACAAAGTTTCCAATTAAATATTTAGCTCACAAGATGTGTTATTCGTCTGGTAAGAGACCCCATTTCTGCATGTTTGTCTTGCATTTTGGTACCTCGACCCTAATTCGATTTAGGGTCTTCCACACCGTGTAATGAAGGCCCCCACTAGGAGCCATAGTTCCTCCCTGGCTGGTATGGGAGGGTTAGTCAACGTGGCCTTCCACCTTGCCACCCGATTGCTTGAGAGTGATCCATCCAGGACTCGTGTCCGTGATAAAAGGCTCTTTCTGGACCGAAGCCGTCGCTCTGCGGGTTGGTGGCCGTGTAATGGGTGACGAGGGTTTGTCTCTTGCTTAGTACTTTCTGCGTCGGCAGCGACATCACGTCGGATTGACGGAGGGGCGATCCCTATGATAGGATAGAGTTTGTGTACTGGGGTTGGTTTCAAACACCCAGTTACAATCCGAGCCATGTCATTGACTGCAATGTCAACCTTTTTTGCTTGGACGATGCATTCCATACTGGTGCAGCGTACTCCACATCCGACACACTGAGCGCTAAAGCTGAGGTTCTGAGGACATTAGGGTTAGCACCCCAGCATCTGCTGGTGAGCTTCCTGATGATATTATTCCTCGCTGAGACTTTACCTCTTGTCGCAATACAATGTGCCTTAAATGTCAGTGTGCGGTCCAGTATGACACCAAGATATTTGGATGTAGGACAATGCTGAAGACGGTCTCCCCGCCACCTCACATTCAACTCACGGCCTGCTTCTCTATTGTTTAGGTGAAAGGCACAAACTTGGGTCTGAGCAGGGTTCGGCTTGAGGTGATTTGCGTCATAGTACTGGGAAAGTTCATTTAGAGTCATAGTGAGCTTCTGTCCCACCTCTTCAAAACTCCTACATTGTGCCGCCACCGCCGTATCATCGGCATTTATATACTGACGTGTAGCGTTTGGCAACGGTTGGTCGTTAGTGTAAATGTTATTAAGAGCTGGGGCTAAGACGCTACCCTGAGGCAATCCATTTCTTTGATTCTTCCATCTACTTTTCTTGCCTTGAAGGGACACGAAAACACGCCTGTTATGGAGAAAAGTGCCTATCATTGAAGGAAGCTGATACTCTTTGGTAATACTGTATACTTTTCCCAAGAGTCTTCGATGGTTTACGATATCGTAGGCAGCTGTTAAATCTACAAAAGCGACACCCGTGATCTGTTTTCTCTCAAACCCATCCTCAATGTGCTGGGTCAGGTTTAAAACTTGGCCACATCAAGACTTGCCTGATCGAAAGCCTGCCTGTTGTGGAATGATCTTTTGTTCCAGAAAATCGCCGATTCGATTATCAGACGTTCTAATATTTTATATGTGTGGCATAAGAGAGAAACAGGTCGAAAGTTCTTAGGATCGTTTGGATCTTTCTCAGGTTTGAGAAGTGCAGCCACACGAGCTTTCCTCCATGCCTTTGGTGTATGCATTTGGCTTACGCACATGTTCATGAGTCTCAACAACCATTGCATGGCATTTTTACCTAGGTTCTTTAGTTGTTCGACTCTGATCTCGTCAATACCTGGAGCTCTATTAGTCTTTAAGCTGGTAATGACTGCAGTTAGCTCGGACATGGTGAATGGTTCTTCCAGGAAGTGATTCTCACTTGCCACATCACGCACAACAGGCTCCCGGTATTTCCTTACATAGGTTTTGCCATTTAAAAGAAGGTTGGTAGCGACTTGATCGGCAGTAACTGTTGTAAAGTTGTCTTTTGGTTTTTTCGCATCTCCATTTATGTTCTTGAGGAACTTCCAGGCCCGTCTGCTGTTCACCTGCATATCTAAACTCTCCACAAGATCACACCACTTACTTTTGCAATTTTCGGCAACGATAACCAGGCAATCACTGTATTTATATAGGATAGGTGACTGTTTTCAATATGTTTATCAGAAACAAAGAGTTAAGTTTGGTCAATGGGATGCCTTTACTTTGCACTAATTTTGTTTAACCTTTACAAAAGGACCATAAACTTAAAAACTGTATTTTTGACGTTGTCATACATTGTAAATGTGTTGCGACAATAAATGACTTTGACTTTTACTTGATATAATAACTGGGTCGGGGTGCTAATTTAGCGGTTTTGACCAAGAACTAAGCTTATCTCAACCCATATTTATTTACCTTTTCACATTTGACGAAGACAATTTCCAATATTTCAATTAAGGATGTCTTTTTATTGGCATCAACCAAAGCTATACCAAAGCTACCTTAATAAACCAGTATTTATGCGCAAACAATTATATTTTTGCTGCCTTTAGCAGAGTTAAACCTATGGAGTGATTCAAATTAATTATTGAAAATAACATCAACAAAAGCAAACAAAGACAAACAACAAAAAGTTTCTTTACACAAAAGATGTGGTGTAAAATAACGAATAAGGAAATAATAACGAACTCCACCAAGATAATATGATAAAGAATCTATGTGCAGAACATCAACTTGATATACAAAGTTATATTCGAGCTATTGGAGATTAAGAAGATGCATTAGACACCAGTATGAGAATTCACTTCGTTCATTCAACTATATAATTACTAAATCATATTCAGCCAGAACGCAACCACAGTCAGTGCCAAGGTCAACAGTTGTCAACAAAAGGTTGTGTGCACAACTGTTTGTTTTGTTCCTAATTTACTATTTACGGTTTTGTTTCCTCTGAAATTAGAACTATAGGTTTAAGGATTTGTAAAATAGAGACCATTTTATAACAATACCAGAATTATTATATTAATAAAATGTTAACAAAACATGTAGTGACAAAATATACAATGATCATGTGAAAGAAAAGTTATAAAAAAGAGGAACACAAGCTTGAGATGGAAGTTGAGAAAGTGACCGAGAGAACTTCATTCGCCAGTCATCATCTCCATGAATTCTGAAACAGACCAAGTAAACGATGAGTTGATCAATTTTTTTGCTATCAATTCAAAATAAAATGTTGTGTAACGTTGGTTTGTTTAGGACATCTGGTTTGTTTAGGATAGTTTGGGGCAACGGACCATTTTGTTGTGACAACGGGAAGAGGTGATTGTATAAAATGCATGGTAAACGTCTATCTCTTATATTAATACGTGAGGGCTGTTTTTTGTAAACACTACTCCTCCCTTATTTGTGTCGGGGTTTCACCATAAAAATTACATTGAACAAAATGTAAAAACAAAAAATAGCTGTATATAAAAAGAAACTCACCAGCTTCTTGGGAGTAAATCAATGTTTGTAATATGCAGGAGGTTATAGACCAATCCAAACAGTCAGTTAATCAGTTTTGTTGGAAGAACGGAAAATGTTGAATTTAAAGAAGAAATGTTGAAAACAGGAGGAGGTTAAGAGGAAATCTTATACGTATGAGAAGAGTAGAAGAGAGACCTGAAAATTTTTACCAGTTCTGCTATGCAACTTATTTTGCAAGTAAAAAAATCATGAAGAATATACAAATCATTTTGTCACAGTGGTAAGGAGAACTTACCTTATGTCAGATCAAATGAATACATGCAAGAAATGTTTACTGGTAACAGCTATAGAAACATTTGTATAAAATGCTAAAAAATAAGGCCCGCTTCTAAAAATGTTAAAATACTTTTACAATAAGTGTTCATTATTTCAACCCGTTATTAATACATTGAGTATTTCAATTAGTTACATAAGCTTTGAGTCTTTTAAACTTATCGAAATCGAAAATTATGACTGTTGTTACTGCAGTTTTAAATCACGCCTGTTTAATAATGGTACTTGAAAATTGCTCGTTTTTGATATTTTATAGAAGACTAGGTGAAACCCGTCGAAATCGACGGTTACTTTCAAGGCTTACGCTAATTCATCTAACTGCGATAAATTGAGTAAAATTATACATATTTTGAGCATTTAACATTGTTTAAAGAGTAAATAAGTGTAAAAACAATAATGATATTGATTGCGTTAGTTACCAAATATGGTTGATCATTCAACGAATAAAATATTTCCCATACTTTGGAAGAACCTTTAAACAGTATTAAAATCGTATTGGTGGATCTTTTTTAGTTAAAAACTTCCCCGATTTCATCAGTGTAATATGGATTAATCTTTGATTTTATTTGAGAGAAAATATCTGCTTGTTGAGGAGACACGTTCTAACTTGAAAGGGAGGTCCTCACAGTGTAAGTTTGATTTTTCCTTCGACACGTCGCGTCGCATCAGTTCATATCGTACTTCTGTGCCAATGAATTACCCTCTAGTATAGTTTTAAGAAATTGGTTGTGGGGATATCGTACTTCTGTGCCAATGAATTACCCTCTAGTATAGTTTTGAGAAATCGGTTGTGGGTTTAATGTTAAAGCTAAAAGACACTTCTGCACTTGTATTATTTTGTATTGTATTACACAATCGAAGATTTTTCCAATGATTGAAAACATGTATGACAATAATCTCACGAACCTATGATGATCTGTCTAGAATAATATGATAAAATATAACCAAAAGTGGTGAAAAAGGCAGATACCAACCCGTACAATAGATATAAGATAGTTCAATAAGAAATTAATGTTAAATGAGAGTTACTGTGATAAAAGGATTTTCTACTGATTTCGTAATGGAACGTTATATTGCAAAATATGACATGATACAGAAGGAAATCAATTTTAAAATCAGAAAATAACATTGCAAATACTTCTTTTGGACAATTCAGTAACTCCCAATAAATATGTGTTGTTTAAAATACAATTCAAAAATTAACAGCTGTTTCAGTAAAAAGTATTATCCACATGGACAAAATGTAAAGAAATCTGTGGAGGGATCTTTAAGGGCTTCTGGGGCAGAGCCCTAACAGGATTCACTTAGTTTTTCTTTTGGTAACTCATCTAGAGACCAAGACCTTTCTTTGGACACCTCTACCAAGTTTCTACGTCCAGTCGTTCTCTCAAATTAATGGAGACAAAAATTCCAATTAAATATTTAGATTCCCCCATGTTAATCTTATGGGAGAAAATCCAACTTTGATGGAATATCCTGTCCAAACTAATAAAGATTTCAAAAAACGAAAAAAAAATTGCAAAACTACAGATCAGGGCAATTCATTTGACACTTTAATCATCAAAATCGGTCCAAAAATGAGGGAGGAGTTCTGTTTACAAAAATCGGCTTAGCGTATTATATATATAGATGACTGTTATTTTTTTAATAACTCTTGTATAATACCGGTACTTGACAATTACTCGATTTCGAGCAACTATCTATACTAGTATCTTACTAATCTGTATATATCTATATATTTAAATATAGACTATATATATATATATATATCTATAGTAACTATCTATCTAAGTACTAGTACCTTAACTAGTATATATAATAGATAGCCTATATCTAACTATCTATCCATCACTATCTATATAGGTATACTATCTATATATACAATACGGTTAGCCGATTTTTGTAAACAGAACTCCTCCCTCATTTTTGGACCGATTTTGATGATTAAAATGTAAAAAAATGGCCCTGATCTGTAGTTTTGCAAAGTGTTTTTCATTTTAGCGAATTTCTCATATAAGAATTAAGCTATTACCGTAGGTCTCATGGTAAGACCTGGACCCGGGACCGATTTACTTTTTCGTTTTTAAGGTCTCCAGAGGCCAAAAACACCATCCGTTCAAATTCATATATATATATTTACATATATATTTATATAGGTATTTATATTCATATATTTTTATAAATTATATATATAGGTGTGTCCGTTAGCACGATAACTCGAACAAAAAATTATCCGATTTTGATGAAATTTGGTATAAACGTGTAAACCTACATTTATTCGAACGAGTTCGCGAACCAGCATGATCGGACCATGGGAACAGGGGTTTATGGGGGGTTTTATGGGGTAAAAATGGGTCTTTCCCATTTTTTACCCTAAAAACATTTTTTAATTTCTTTCTAAACAGTTTTGTAGAGCTTTAAAAAATAAATAATTTAGTATATTGAAGCATTGTTGTATGCCTAATTAATAGCTACGGAGAGAATTAAAAAAAAAAGCAAATTTAAAATTCGTATGTTATTCTTATGGAGAAAATTAAAACTGTTGTAGTTTACTTATTTATGGATATATGTTGATCAAATTTGGCAAACTTATTTATTTCATCCTATACTATTGCCGTTTGGTCAAAAATCAATGTTTACCTTCCCCGTAGCAGCAAACCTAAGCACTCGTTAAATCTAATGTCATTTAAATTGGGAATAAATATGTCTGTCTTATTTATGGAAGTATTTTAGTAAATATGAAATCAGACAAGTTGAAATTCGCTTAGTCTGCAGGTTTGCTGCGGCGGGGGCATTAAAAAAATATTTATTAGTTTGGGCAGGATCATCCATCAAAGTTGGGTTTTCTCCCATAACATTAACATGGGTAAATCTAAATATTTAATTGGAAACTTGGTCTCCACAATTTTTGAGAGAACCACTGGGCGTAGACACTTGGTAGAGGTGTCAAAAGAAAGGTCTCGGTCTGTAGATGAGCCATCAAAAGAAAAACGAAGTAAATTCCCTTAGGGCTCTGCACCAGAAGCCTTTAAAAGTTCCCTTGCCAGATTTGTTTACATTATTGTCATTATGGATAATTATTCACTTCTTTTTAATGAAACAGCTGTTCATATTTATAGTCCAGTCATCGAAGCTGAATGAGTGGGAAAAAATGGTGTAGTCCCGGATTTTTGCACAGTTGTAGGGGATACCCTCCTGAACAACATACTAAAAGTCCTGACTGATGGGGTGTGAGCTAAGGGGGGGAGGGGGGTGTAAATGCACAATTTTTCGGTTTTCTGTAAATATCTCGAAAACAGTGCCCTCTAGCGGTAAAATGTACGTATACAAAAATGAAGAGGATTAAATTTCCAACAATAATGTTCATTACATCGTGTTCCTAAAATCAATACTTAACGAGATACATGGGTCATAAGAAAAAAAAAACATTCAGAGCAACTAGTATAATTGTTGTAAAGTGATTGTTTTATACTACATCAAGTTATATAGACTGATAAAAATGTGCTAAATACTCGTCTATGCAGTACAGCTGTTGAAAAAATTGAGGGGAGAGGATGTCGGGCCGGACTGGAAGCCGAGAGACCAAACAGTGGTAACCATAATAACATACTGTAATATTAAAACTAAAATAAACTTGCAGAAAATTTATTACACTTGTCTTTTAACCCAGTAACCTAACACATTTGACCTTGAATGAAATTGTGTAGTAGGTTTATTTTTTTACGTTGTTTGTAATAGTACCGAGATGCTAAATCCAAATTTTCGACCTCGGCGACCTTCCGGATCACCTCCAAAAACCTTAAAAATAGGCGGAATTCCGCACTATTTTTACGTTTGTCCGATTTTGACCCTGAAGCATCACTTTTTCATACAAAGCTACCATAATCATTTTTAAAGTACATTAGATTACCTATCATTTAAGACCAAACTGGTTAATACAGGCCTAATAGTTTTCAAGATATGACTCAGCAAATAATAAATAAAATTACCAAATTTTGAACTTTTTTAAGTTTGGCTAACGTTTACCCTTAAGCATAACTTGCTCATTATTTTTTATTAAAACAATCATAATTACTTTAAAACTATATTAAATTACCCACAATTTAAGACCAGAATGGTGATTATAGGCCTCACACATTGAGAGTATATAGCCTCTTCAAGGTTCATAAAATCTTCTAGGTCTATAAATGCTTGTATTTCCAAGTTTCAAGCTATTCAATTTGGTCCAATTTTATAAAAGAACCATAGTAAGAATATAAACAAAATTTATTTCATTTCAACAACAGATTGTAAGTCTTATTTAAAAATATTTCTTATGGAAGAAATCTGTCGTTATTAAAATGTTCATACTATCAAGAGGAATTGATAGAA